AAATTATAAAAATGTATTTAATAAAAATAAAATGCTTGAAGTACAATAAGTTACATATGTATAACTTATTTAAAATATAAACACGATATATTTTAACACATTTGTAAAAAAATGGATGTAATACAACTTTAATGTTAATACTTTTAAGCGAAATAATAAACATCACGCGCATGTAAGTAAACATATATATAATTGCAGAGAAGAATATTTCTGATCCACATTTTATGTAGCGCGAATACGATTATACGAATTAACAGAATATCTACTTACCATGTCAGTCTTGAAAAGTAGATGCGTTATCCTCAGAATTGTGGATCTTGGCATATAGTTTACATCCACTTCTTCAGAGGGCAGTAGTGCGCGGCAGCATTTTGCGGTTACAGGTTTTAGGCCGTCATGTCCTCTCTCAGGTTTCTCTCTGGTGGAAGTATACATGGTGTGCTCAATACTTAGTGACTTTTCAGTTTCTGATCTGAAAACCCATGGAGAAGCTGAAATTGTGCCAATCTGTAGAAAAAAAAATAAAAAGTAATGTTGGCAAACTTGTTTATCTACTCGTCCTTGTCACACCCTATGCAATAGAGGAAGACGCATCACCAGGATGAGTTGAAAGCAACTCGTGGATATACATACCTATATACAGTACGTATATGAAGCGGAGCAAGTGAATGCGATACGTATTATTGTACGAATATATATTATTTATAACATTAAAATAGTGCGTTGCGTGGTTAAAGTTTGCAGAAACAATAGTGATCAGTGAAACACATGAACACTTATGTCGTTGCAAAATTTTAAGTTGGAGGCTTACTATGAGTCTCTAAAATACATTTATGTAATTTGTATACAAAATAGAAGTTTCCTATTCACTGAATGTGCCTAGAATTCTTGAAAAGTGTAATTAAATAAAAACTTCAGCGACAAAAGTTTTTATGCATTTTATACACCACAGGCGAATCACAAGTTTAAAATTTTTATTTCATTATGCCTTTAATGAATTTTAAGCATCATTAGTGAATATGACACTCATATTTTCTTGCACAAATAATATTTATGTATTTTGGAGAGGCGTGGTAAGTCTCCAACATACAGTCTTGCAACGGCGTAAGTATTAATGTGTTTTAGGGTCCACTGGGGAATCACAAGCTTGAAATTTTTATATGTAATTACACTTTTAATGAATTTTAGGCACCTTTGGTGAATGACAACTATTAAGATTTGATAGTTGTACATGTGCTGTCCGAGAGAGGCGCACTTTCCCTTAACAAACAGATAGCGCTCGTGCACATCCGCGTGTTATCTCTCGAGCATTGCCCCTCTAAAACATTACATTCTACTTGTGTATTCGGTAAGAGCGACCACGCGGCTAGAAAAACACATACTGTATATTAATCCATTTATTAGAAGAATAAAGGACTGTTTTTGTAATTATCGTAATCGGCGTGCAGATAGAATATATTAGCCCTGCCATTCCTACGGTAACAACAAATTGGCGACGAGATGAACCAATTCGAATATTATACTACCTACATAAAGTAGTGCCAAGGAACAATCAAGAATGGACGCTGCTCAATTTCAACACATTATCGAAGTAATGAATCACAACCAGCAACAATTGCTCAACCAGGTATTATCAGCCTCATCTCAACAATAACAACTAGTCAGTCAACCAGTAATCAATGCCGCGCTCTTACCGCCATTTGAAAATTTCGACCCCAAGAAAGAAAGCTTCAGGTATTATCGTCAGCGTTTTGAAAACTACCTGCAAATGAAAGGTATAGCTGCAGACAATGCATATTGCACAAAAATGCTCCTTAATTCTATTGGCGCAACATATTATAATACACTGGCAGCATTAGTTGCACCCAGCCTACCTAACACATTAGAATACTCTAACCTAATAGAAATATTAGAAAAGCATTTATGTCCCAAGAAGAACATTTTAGTAGCACAGCATCGATTTCTTTTAACTTATCAAAGTGAAAATCAATCGCTCGCTGAATATATAACACTACTGCGTCAAGACATAGGTGATTGTGACTTTATCTCACCATGTAACTGCAAAATTTCAATTTCAGACATATTCTTGCGTGCTCAATTTATTAGAGGCATAAGGGACAACACCATTCGCGAACAATTACTGCAATCTAGTGTTTCAACATTCGCAGAGATCACAGGAAAAGCTCTCGCACTAGAAGCTTCCAAAATTGACAGTCATGAACTTTCAAAGAATCAACCGTCTCCGAACACAACTAATCATGCTGAAGACGTCAAAAAAGTAGCAAAGTACCGGAAGTCCAGACGCGAAAATCTGACACCAAGTCAAAAATTCAACGCAAAAAGTCCGGGTAGACACAAAAACTATAGATCCAGATCTAAATCAAAGATTGATTACAGACAACTCGGAATCGAAGGTCTATGCTTACGCTGCGGTAACAATAACCATATTGCAAAGGATTGCCGGACGAATAAGTCAGCTCTTAAATGCACTGCATGCGATAAAACTGGACACCTTTTTAAAGTATGTATACGCTCACTGTTGAATAATAATAATAATGAAACAAATACAGCTAACATGAAATCAACTAACTATATACAAGAGGAGACATCAGATTATGGAATCAATCACATTATTGACATATATGAAAACCAAGGTTCAGAACACGACAAGTCTAAAAAGTACTTTACTACAGGTTGAAGGACAACCTCAAACATTTAAAGTCGATTCTGGTGCAGGAGTTACCTTACTTTCACGAAAAGAATTCAAAAAACTGAATCTACCCATCAAACCACGAACGACAACTGTTACATTTCGATCATATACAAATAATGTATTTCGTCCAGATGGAGAAATTAAAGTTGAAGTTCGTTATAAAAATAAAGTATCCTTTGAGAAAATGTACATTGTTCCAGATAACATGTCACCACTCTTAGGAAGGAGTTGGATTCGTAATCTAAATATAAATCTCCAAGAAATTGATAAAAAATTAGAAATCCATACCAGCAACTCGCAAATTCAAGCAATCAATAATATTGAAAATATTATCAACCACTTTCCTGACGTTTTCGAAGAAAAGGTAGGATGTGTGCCAGAATTTTCTATTTCACTTCGACTGCGAGAAGGTTCAAAACCTATTTTCCATAAAGCAAGAGATATACCCTACGCATTGCGAGAAAAAGTCGAAAAGGAATTAGACGACCTTGAAATAGCAAGCATTATTTCAAAGGTAGCCTTGAGCGACTGGGGATCACCATTGGTTGTTATTCCTAAACCCGATGGAGGTGTTCTCTTATGAGTAGATTACAAAATTGGAATTAACCACAGGCTAATTTCAGCTAATTATCCAATTCAACGAATCGATCAAATATTAAATAGTCTACGGGATTCACATTTTTTTTGTCGTTTTGACTTATTCAAAGCCTATTTACATTTGAAAGTTGATAGAGAAAGCAATGAAATACAAACTATTTCAACCCATCGAGGCACGTACCGAGTGAACAGGCTTTCATTCGGCATTAAAACAGCTCCATCAGAATTCAACCGCATTATAGATCGGATTTTGTCTGGCCTCAACAAAACATTAACGTACTTCGATGACATAATTGTCCACGGATCTACTAAGGAAGAATGTCAACAAAATCTATATGCTTGTTTACAGCGCTTAAAGAAATACGACCTACACCTCAATCGACGTAAATGCCTATTCTTCCAAGAAGAAATTGAATACCTTGGACATATTATCGGATTCAACAAGATTTCAAAATCTCCCAAAAAAGTTAAAGCCATTGTCAACATGACTAGACCATCCAATGTTGATGGTGTACGCCGTTTCCTAGGTATGGTAACATACTATTCAAGATTCATTCCAGATGTGTCGACAATTACTTACCCATTGAGGAAATTACTTATTAAAGACTCAACATTCAGATGGACCAAGGCGTGTGAAGATGCATTTTTAAAACTCAAAAATGAAATCTCAAGTGATAGAATATTAACGCCGTATAATCCAGAACTTCCATTAGTTATCACATGTGATGCTAGTCCTACAGGCGTTGCAGGAATGCTATCGCACGTCCTTAATGGTATCGAAAAACCCATTGCATTTGCATCTAGATCGTTAACTTCAGCAGAAAGAAATTACAGTCAGCTTGACCGTGAAGCCCTTGCAATTGTATTTGCAATCAACCATTTCTTCATGTACGTGTTCGGACGCAAATTTAAGCTAATAACAGATAATCAACCTCTTACCAGGATATTTCATCAAAATAATAAATTACCAGCGATGACGTCAGCTCGCCTACTTCGATATGCATCATTCTTATCAAGATTTGATTACGAAGTCGAATATAAGAAGGGGCATGAAAATGTTAATGCAGACTGCTTATCCAGAGCATCAATACATCAAGAGCAATACTCGACCGATATCGCTATTAATGAAGAAGTTCATCAACTTTGTTATTCAACTATTTTTGAAATTTCAACTGAGGAGCTTACTACTGAGAAAATTGTTCAAGAAACCGATAAGGATGAAGTCCTCTCAAAAATCAAACAGACTATACTTAACGGTGAAATTGATAATATCGAATACACGCTTGACGCTGGAATATTATTTAAAGGCCAACGCGCAGTCATCCCAAAAAAATTACAAGCAAAAATTCTCGAAGAACTACACAAAACACACGTCGGCATTACAAAAATGAAACAACTTGCGCGCCGCTACTGTATCTGGAAAGGAATAGACCGAGACATCGAAAACACTGTAAAATCCTGTCGAAATTGCGCAGAAGTAAAAGCCAGCCCAGCAAAAGCTCCAGTACACCATTGGGAAGAGCCAACGTCCAATTGGGACCGTATTCACATAGATTATGCAGGACCATTTGAAAACCACTATTTCTTAATTGTAATAGACGCTCGTTCAAGATGGGCTGAAATACGAATCACCAAAGATGCACCGACATCAGAAAAGACTATAGAATTATTAAAAGACATCTTTTCAATCCATGGATTTCCCAAGGCTATGGTATCAGATAATGCAACGATTTTTGTAAGTGAAACATTTAAACAATTCTGTCGTAATAGCGGCATTTTCCAGAAATTAATAGCTCCGGGTCATCCTGCTACAAATGGCCTTGCTGAAAGGAACGTCCAAACACTGAAACAACGTTTGAAGTCGATGCAGGGGGAATCTCTCACGCTCAGTCAAAAAGTTCGAGAAATTTTATTCAAGTATAGAGCTACACCGCTCGCATGTGGGAAATCTCCTGCAGAACTTTATCTCCATCGCGCTATTCGAATCAATTTAGATATCCTCAAGCCATTGAAAAATACTGCTAATTACCAGGAAATTCCAGGTACACGCAATTTATCGATCGGAGAGAGGGTACAGGCACGCTATTATACAAACCAAAAACCTGTATGGAAATTCGGGACAGTCATCAAGAAGTTTGGTCAACTTCATTACCACATCAAGCTCGACAATGGATGCGTCTTCAAGAGACATATCGATTAATTACGCAGAACTAAAGTAAAGAAGAAGGTCACATTCTCCCCTGACACGAAGGGAGAAGAAGAAGAAAACAAGGAAGAGGAAGACCCAAATCGAATTATATCTACAGAGTTGGGCCATTCCCGGGGACCGCTCCACAAATTGTTCCAACTGAGGAGAGCCAGCCGGCACCGGAAGACGAGGCAGTAGTCAGACGAGATTCCTTACCAAATGCACGAGATCCTTCTACCCAACGGCCCCAACGGTCACGCCGAGTACCATCACACCTGAAAGATTACGTTTTGAAGTAGACAACTGTCGATTAATTGCCCACCCCGTTTCTTTTCATGTGTGGGAGGATTATTGAGATTTGATAGTTGTACATGTGCTATCCGAGAGAGGCGCACTTTCCCTTAACAAACAGATAGCACTCGTGCACATCCGCGTGTTATCTCTCGAGCATTGCCCCTCTAAAACATTACATTCTACCTGTGTATTCGGTAAGAGCGACCACGCGGCTAGAAAAACACATACTGTATATTAATCCATTTATTAGAAGAATAAAGGACTGTTTTTGTAATTATCGTAATCGGCGTACAGATAGAATATATTAGCCCTGCCATTCCTACGGTTACAACAACAACCTTACATTCTGTTGCACAAGTAATATTAATGTATTTTAGAGAGCCCTAGTAATTTTCAAACTTGAAAATTTGCAACGACACACGTATTAATGCATATTACAAACCGCTGGCGAGTCACAACTTTGAAATTTTTATTCCATTACACTTTTCATGAATTTTCGGGACCACTACTCAATGTCAAACTTATGTTTTTTTGCACGAATAATATTAATGTATTTTAAGGGATCCTTAGTGAGTGTCGAACGCTAAATTTTGCAATGACAAAAGTTTCCAAGTATTTCATGAACCGCTGGAGAATTTGAAATATCGGCCCAAACAGCCAGGATGATTTTATGATTTTGTGGACTTTGAAGTTGTACTGTATTGATAATTTCAATTTCAGATTGAATATTTCTTCCGGGTTACAGTTCTACAATATTTTAGAGACCCCTCGTGAGTTTCAAGTTTAAAACTACTTGCGAAGAAAGATTTAATGTATTTTATAGGCCGGTAAAAAATATCAAAATAATTACTTTTCGACAAGCAAAGTTTTAATATATTTTACAGGCAATTAAAGGATATCAAACTAAAAACTTTTTGACGATGAAACTTTTAATATGTTTTGGAGACCGAAGGTAAATTTCAAACTTACAGCTGTTTTCTGAGTAAAGTCTTTACAGAGTTGCATAAGAAAGATTGGTCTAGCCGTCCAGGATCATTTCTGGTAGCAACTCCACTTGGCTTCAAGGAGGCAACCAGAAAGTCAGCCACCTCGGAATAAATGTCGACAATTTCATAGCCAAAATTACCCAAGTCCGATGTTGGGATCCCCATCGCTGAGAATTTCACCAACGATACAATACTTTACATCTAAAACCTTCTTTCGAAGACAATTTTACTATCTACACATTACAATAATAATAATAATAATAATAATAATTTATTGAAACAAAATATAGGTCTACATATCAATATTATATCACATTGTGACTAGATATTGCTTAGCAATATCGAATATAAATACAATTATTTAAAGCATGCCACTTAAGAGCTGTTTGCTTAAGTTTTCCTTCCAAAGCATTACTTCTTCAAATTATGTGTTGAAATTTTTTTTTTGGTAAACAGTTCTAACCAAACTTTTAATAACACATTTTTTTTATAATACTTAAAGCGCTACAATTAAAACTAAACAATTTTATTAATTTATATGTGTCATAATTAAATTCTCAAATATTTTTTGTTTCCTCGATTTTTAATTTTCGCGGGCATTTTGTCGAGTATAACGAAAATTAGGCAACATAACAGACTTTTCTCCCGAGATTCTAGGAACTTTTTTAAGGTTGGTACCCTTTCAGCTCTTCGAAGCCAGAAAGCAAGCGAGACAAACGATTTTCAAGAGAGACACTAAACCAACTGAGCACACCCATAGATCTTTAATGTATACTTCCACCATGGTGCCAGTACCATGGCAGAGAAAAACCTGATAGAGGACATGACGGCCTAAAACCTGTAACCGCAAAATGCTGCCGCGCACTACTGCCCTCTGAAGAAGTGGATGTAAACTATATGATAAGATCCACAATTCTGAGGATAACGCATCTACTTTTCAAGACTGACATTGTAAGTAGATATTCTTATTGATAGACATCTTTGAACTCAATAAGAATATAAAATTTTTAATACTCCTTTATTAAGAGATACATATATTTAAGAGATATCGTTCAACAAAAATTATTACATATTTGAGATCATATATTGCACACAAAGAACCTCCAAGTCACCACACTTATTTTGCCGACTTATAAAATATATTAGTGTTGCAGTATGGTGTTTAATTTGGCGACACACACAACACACACAAACACAAAACACATACACACACACACATTCATGCAGAAGGTCTGTTCTTGAAAAGAAACGTATACGAAAGTTTTAGGGAAATACTACAGTATACGTTACATATACTAAAATAAATTAATAGAAGGCTCAACAAGTATAAAACAAATAAGTTGAAAATAAGAGAAAAGAGCCAAATAGTTTTCTAAAAATTATAATTATAATGAAATCAAATCATAATACATTAAAATAAAATTCGCAAAATTCGCAAACATAGTAAAATTAGTAGGTAAAATTCACATACGTTTCGACACCGATCGGGTCATTTTCAATGTTAAATTTAAAATTAAGTGTGTATAATATAATTAACGAATCAACGATAAATTACATGTGTATAATTATAAAAAAATTAACGAGTCAAAAATATAAAATTAAAAGTGTAAATTGAATAATTAATTAACGAGTCGTAAATATAAAATTAAATATGTATAATTAAATATGGATCTTCCTTTGTGTTTCGCCTCAAGAGCTATACAAATCTATTGACAAAAAGGTATACAAATTTAAAAACTTAATTATAAAGAAGTAAATTGTATATATTACCTTAACAGAAATGTAATAAAAAATGTATAATCCAGTATAAAAATCCAGTAGATCCATTATTATAATTAAATAAATAAATAAAATAGTCTAAATTACAGTTATAAAAATCGACTGTACTGTTTGAAATAAAAATAAGAAATGAGTAGGCAGAGACCTCAGGAAAGGACAGAGGAAGGAGAAAATTAAGAAGTGGAAAGAGAATGTATCATGTTAGTATAACAATCTGGCAATGACTCGGTATCATTTTGTTTATTTATACCAATGGGATCGCCATTATCACCAATAGTCGCAGATATGGTTATGCAGGATTTTGAAGAAACTGCTATTAGTCTATTACCTATTCATCTCAATTTTTATTATCGTTATGTTGATGATATTATCTTAGCAGCTCCTTCTGATAAAGTTGACGACATTTTGAATGTTTTTAACTCATTACATACAAGGCTAAAATTTACTATGGAAATTGGCAATGAAGGAATGATTAGTTTTTTAGATACTTTGATTATAGTTAATGAAGATAGTTTAATATTTGACGCTTATCGTAAGGCTACTTTTTCAGGCAGATTCCTCAATTTTCATTCACATCATCCTTTATGTCATAAAAGAGGAGTAATTTATGGTATCATAGACAAAATAATTTTATTATGTCATCCAAAGTTTCATAATAAAAATTTGATTGATGCTATTAATATTTTTTTACTGAATGGATATCCACTTGATTTTATTTTCACAACAATAAAAAATTAAGAAGTGGAAAGAGAATGTATCATGTTAGTATAACAATCTGGCAATGACTCGGTATCATTTTGTTAATTACACTTTCCTCGAATAAAAAATAGATTAAAATTCCACATTAATAAAATTAGTTCTAATAATAATAATAATAATTCTTTAAAAAAATTTTTTGCTATTCCGTTTGTTGATTCTGTCTCTAATAAATTTAAGCCTATTGCTAACATTTTTACTTGCAAACTTGCTTATACCATACCTAATACATTAAAAAACTTCATAAAAAGAGGCAAGGATAAATTAGAATACACACACAATCAAAATGTGGTATATAAAATCTCCTGTGACAACTGTGATGTAAGTTATGTTGGCCAAACTAAGAGACAATTAAAAACAAGAATACATGAACATTCTTCGGATATTAATAAAACTTCTAAATCTCCATCTGTAATATCTAATCATAGAATAGAAACAAATCATGATTTTAATTGGAGCAATGTAAAAATTTTAGATATGGAACCATCTTATAATAAAAGATTGATATCCGAAATG